CAGTGTGGGGTCCAGGGGATACAGCCCTTGGAATGGGCTGTTTCAATGTATGTCCCCCATGGGCCACCAGTGCTGCCAGAAAACCTTCTCCAATGTGGGATCCTCTCCATAGGCCAGAAGTCCCACCAAGAGCCAGTTCCTCTGTGGGCTTGTCCGTGGGCTACAGCTTCCTTTGGGCACACCCACCTGCTCCAGCATGGGGTTGTCCCTGGGCTGCAGGTGGAGCACGTCCTTCCTCTCCTTCTTCACTGACCTTGATGTCTACAGGGTGTTTTTTCTCACATACGCTTGTTCTTCTCTCCCTGCTGCTATTGTGTAGGTTTTTTTGACTGTTTCTCAACTATGTTATCACAGAGGGCTCAGCTTTGGCCAGCAGCTGGTCTCTCTTGGAACTGGCTGTCATGTCTCTGACTGATGTGGTGCTTGCTTCTGGTGTTTTCTCACAGAAACATCTGTGAAGGCTCCTACCACCATGACTAAAATTTTCCTGTGCAGACCTAATACATTAATGTGCTGACAACCAGAGGTGCAGGACTGAGAGGGCACCAGGCTTAGCAGTGTCTTGGACATCATAACAAGAGCAGAGGCTCTTCACCTGAAGCAGTAACTGTGTACCAACTCAACCCTAGCTGCTGAAGGCTTTATCTGAATGTCTTCCTCAGTCAGAAGAGCAAGCACAAAACTATGATGTGTAGGAGTCTGATAAGGAGCTTCTGGAGGGGCAGTGGGCCCTGTACTCAGTTTGACGGAGCACAGGTTGAACCATGCCGTGGCGTCCTTATTTTCAGTTGTGGTTTCATGCAGGTGAGAAGTATACCCAGCCAGACACCTCCAGATTTGGTAGGGATCAACTAGCTGAGTTTGAAGAACTTGAAAAAAGTCTTGTGGAGATGTTGTGGGGGAAGCACATCTACATGAAATGCAAATTTTCCTCCTCTGGAGAGGGAAAGCATGAAGCTTTATTGCTACCTGCAGCTGGTGAAGACAAAATTTTGACAGAGGCAAATCTCCACAAGGTGGCAATGACTGTCTCTATAGACACACTACCTCTGGGAATACCTTGTGCTTTTCCCTCTCAGTACTGGGGTCATGGTATTATCTTTAGCTAATGGGCTAGAGGGGAATGCACGGGGGGTGGGTTCCTACCAGCTGGGTGGCACCATATAACTGGCTCCTAGGAACTGGAGCATCTTGGCGGGGGGGTGAAGGAGGGGCAGGGAGTGGGATGTGGCAGAGGTGTTAACAGACTTTAGGGAGGTGGGCAAGACAGGCATTGGTCCAGCTGCACCCACAGAAGAAGAGTTTTAAACCAGGCTTGGGTCATCGCCTCTCCACTTGAGTCAGTCCGTGATGTTTTGTTAGAAGCAACGAGGTTTGTTTCTTCACTTTCCTTCACACCTGTTTCTAGGTCCTCTGAGAGAGAAGCCTGGGGGCAGAGCATGGGCTTGTACCACCAACAGCCCTCAGAACTGTGAGGCCTGTCCTTAATGAAAATGCAGTGGTCAGTTTTAGCATCACTCAGCAGAATGGCTCCAAAGAGTTTCATCTTACTAGGAAGGAAGGAGAGCCCATGTTCAGCTAATGAAAAGGGCCTGAGGAGAGGGACAGGAGGCATCTGCCCACCCTGCAGGTAATGGCTAGCAGGAAGCCAAGCTGTGAGGGACCTGCTTGGAGCTGAAGCTCTCTCTCTGGGTTGGGTTGTGAGAGACACAACAGCTACTGTCAGGGGTTGTGGGATCGAGGTAAGAGCAAAGAATCTGAGGTGTTTCCTGCTCACTACAATCCAGGCTGCATCCAGAATGCTGGGGGGTTTAAGGCTGGCTTTGATTCAGCTGTGGAACAAGGCTCACAGGACAATGGATGCTGTGGCTGGGCTGTGTTGTTCTGGCCCCTCCTGTGGGCACACACGCTGGAGGACAACGAGAAGCTCAGAAGGCAGTGATGCAGTCCAGGAATAGCTTCTCGGTTTCAGCAGCCCACAGCTCTTTGCAAGGGTTTCTCAGGGCTGCCCGGGGCCACCCTTGGTGTGGCAGGCCGTGGTGAACTCCTCAAGGCTGGTCCCCACTTGTGTCCTGAGCTCATGCAGGCTATTGTCACCAGCCTCAGTCTGAATTTGCTTAGGAATACAACACAAAACCTGCAATATTTAATATTAAGCAGAAACACTTCTAAACTATATATTGTTTCATTTTGCACTGGCAAGCATAAGGCATTAAGTGGTTAAACCACAACTCTAGAAATAATGGCATGTATAAAAGAAGAGCTATTTTGCCAACAAATTATGAAGCCTGCAGCTGTTTACATTTAAGATCATTGAATAAATGCTTCCTCTTGCTGTTGTATATCCTCAGTGAACTGGGATCCTGAACAGCCTCAGAAGTCCCACTGTCAAACCTGTTTGCTAAGTGTACCTTAAGTAGTGGCTCAGATGTGGCCATATGGACTGGAGAAAAGCAGCACAGAAAGACCAGAGGTGACAGTCAGAAAAGCACCAGCTGCAAGGCGACAGAGCAGTGGGCACCACTCCCTGAGCAGGATCAACACAGTTTTCACTTTTGCAGACGCAGGCAATGGAGAATTGCTGCAGTGCCAAGGAGGACCTAACCCCAGGAAATCCCTGGTACACCTTCTGACAGACAGTGGGACCCCACCAAGAGCTCGCCCTTTCTCAGAAAGCCTTTAAGCTCAGCTGCAGGGTGATAATGTTAGAGGAAGGGTGATGGCAGCCAGCATTTGCTGCACACAGGCCTTGTGCAACTGGCTGGAGGGCAGGCTGGACCACCACAGCACTACCCTGCTCCGGCTAAAAGCACACGTAGCCATATACTGGCATAAAGGGCCTATCCCAGCAACACACCACTGTGTCTTTGCTCTCCACTGGGCACTGGTGCCCTGTTCAACTTCAGTAATGCTGATAGTACTCAAAAGGTTAGTTTGCTTCACTTAAGGGAAGAAACACAGTTTTGGTGACCTTTAACCTACCTTCTGCCACTGACACACTCACTCCCATGACTCCCAAGGAGAAAAAAGAATCTGTGTTGTTAATACTCCCTTTTTATTTTCATAAACAGATTGTGGAAAAAATTCAGGTATTTCTCCATAAACTTTAGAACTTTGAGGACGTCAAGCTCACAGTGAGAAACCACCACCAGGCCTCCAGGCAGTGCCAGACAAGGAGGGATATTGTCATTATTCACAGGATTTCAGTGTTGCTGGTGTGTGAAAGAAAATTTGGATATGTTCCCCACCGAAGTCAGGTGAGAGGGTGGTGTCTGGTATTAGAAAAAAAATGTTTTGGGGGTGCCACAACCTTGCAAAATCAGTTGGAATTTATGAAGCATGAAATCCATACACGGTGTATAGATTGACAAGGAATAATATGCATGTAGAAAAGACCTACTTAAAGGCTCCATTTATATTCTTTTAAATCAGATCATTATTTAATAACTTAGACACATTGCTGTTGGAATGGTATACGTTTTTGCAGCACTTTGTATTTTGTGGTAGGTCAAATTGTATCACTTCTAAAACGCAAATTGGTTTGGGAAATGTAGAGGTCAGTATTTTACGAGAAAGCAGGCAGACTGCTAAAACTTTCTGTAACTCTGACTCCATGTTGCTATTTTTAGTTCATCTTCAAATCACAACTTTACTTGAAGCAAGAGATCAAAATTCACCGGACTTAATTCAGTACTTTAGGACTTGCATACCCTCTCAAAATTTCTCAGTGAAAAGCCACCAAACACTTGCAGACCTCTACACAGTGGATCTGAAGCCTACTGACAACATTCCCTTTTCTGGTTTACCCTTTTCCGGTTTACCCTTTTCCATGCTGTGCAGTGGTATTAATCCACAGCTCTTCCTCAGAAATGAGCTGAAAACCCCAGTACTGGAGCTAACCCAAACTGGCAATTCATTCTCCTTACTTCTGCAGTGGCCAGCCAATCTGTATTTCGGGATGCGTTTTGTTCAGTCCACTGAGCAAGTATCTGTTGATCTACATCTTAAATAATCTCTTCTTGTTTACAGAGCGTCCAATCCTACTGCTGCAAAAACATTAAGGCCAGTTAGGATCTCTCTTCACAAATCAGTAATGACACCTAAAAACAAACCAAGAAGTCCTCCCCAATGGTTGATGGTGGATCACGTTCAACACCCATCTGTATCCTGTCATAACAAGTTCTTATTCTGGCTTTTACTGTACATTCAAGATATTTATTCTTGCTAACCTGTACCTCTCCTTCACTCAGCACCATGTGGGTCCTAGACAGCGATCTAACACAGCTAGGGCCAGCATACTGACCTCATCTTCCAGGAAAGCCAGGATGAACACCACAGCAAGGTCAACTCTAAGCTCAGACCAGAGGCCAAATTATTCAAGTAAATAAGTGACCTACCCCTATCAACTGTACTGTGAGATCTGCTTGGATAAATAAGTGCTTGTAATATTTTAGCCATTCTGTGTTAACCACAACAAAGTGAACTAAAGAGAATTCCACAAGCAAAACTACAACACAAGCAAAGTGTCCATTAACAGATTTATTTTTCTTTCCATAATCTCAGAATAACCAAGATGTCTACATTCCATCATGAAAGTTTAAAAAAATACAAAGCCAGTTAGTAAGGAAGCTGGGAATCCCCAAATGTTTTTAGTCCATTCTTTGTTAGCGTTGGTATTTGTTAAAAAAAATCCCCTCTTGCCAACTTCTCGACCAAATCAATAGGTAAACATTAGCCATCAGATGTCCCATCAGCTGGCAAAGCTTTTGGAAGTGCTTTCCTTTCTACAAGCCAACTCACAGAAATGTTCAAGCCACTATTAGATCTGTTTGTTCAGCAGTTTTAAGGATTATTTTTTTTTGCTGTAGCTTTGCAAAGCAACTCTAAGGTTCTTCAAGAGTAAAGCCACTAGCATATACTTACACTTATTAGCCTAATTATTAATAGAAATTGTCATCACCAAACATAGAGCAAAATGACTGAAAGATGCCTTTTGATCAGAGTTAAGAGCACTTAATAGAATCACATTCTTCTGCACCAGTCTTCCAGGAATATGAAACCTTCAGACTTTTACAATAGCTTTTCCAAGATTTTCTCCTTTTAACATTCCAATGAAAGCTGCTGGCATGTTCTCAAATCCTTCAGTGACTTGCTCATGGTACTTCACCTTTCCCTGTCAAAAAGAAGAAAGAGAATTGCTGAGTTTTCATTCAGCAGTTGCCTAGTTTTTACCACTGTCCCACTATACTCAGCACTAGTGAGGCCGCACCTCGAACCCTGTGGTTCAGTTTTGGGCCCCTCACGACAAGAAAGACATTGAGGTGCTTGGAGTGTGTCCAGAGAAGGGCGATTAAGCCAGTGAAGGCTCTAGAGAACAAGTCTTTTGAGGAGTGGCTGAGGGAACCAGAGTTGTTCAGCCTGGAGAAAAGAAGAATGAGGGGAGACCCTATCACTCTCTGTAACTGCCCCAAAAGGGGTTGTAGCGAGGTCAGGGTTGGTCTCTTCACCCAAGTAACAAGCAACAAGACAAGAAGAAACAGCCTCAAGTTGCACCAGGGAAGATTTAGATTGAGTATTAGGAAAAATGTCTTCATGGAAAAGGTTGTCAAGGATTGGAAAAGGCTGCCCAGACATGTAGATGTGGCACTTAGGGACATGGTTTAGTGGTGGATTTGGCAGTGTTAAGTTTGCAGTTGTACTTGATGATCTTAGAAGTCTTTTCCAACCTAAACAATTCTATCATCTTCGGGAGACTAAACTGCAACCAATTTTTCTCCAGCTTGTGTGTTTAATCTGAAATAAATATGCAAGCTAGCATGCAGCAGGGTAACTTCGCAAAGCTAGGCAGACAGTTGTGAGGATCTGCCTTTGTTGCAAGACCTTCTACTTGGAGTCATAACAGAGAACAAAAGTCACTGCTATAAAAACATGCCAGGACAGATTTTGTGCAGCTTGGCCCCCAACCAGTAGATAGATAGGGGACTACTTCTCCAAAGCCAGGCCTGCCTCTGTAAAGAAGTATGGAATTGCTAATCCAAGTGATCAAAAGCTGGGCCATCCCAAATCCTCATGTCTGTAAAAGCTAGAGCCTCTTAGTCTTTACTGTTCACATTCACAAGCTTTTCACAGCCATGAACCAAGTGTTAAACTCAGCCTCCATTTAGAAAAATAAAATCTAAGAAATTTCCTATGAAGTTCCTTTAAAGCCCTGCTCTCAATTCCATAAAAATATCTATTCTTGCCAGTAACTTCAGCACAATGGTACAATGGAAATCTTTGCTCATATAGAGACTTCTTAATGAGAATTAGAGGAATCACTCTAAATATGAAACTCTTCATTGCCAGAGAAGTGTTTTGAATTATTCTGGAAACATCCTTTTTCAAAGCCTACAGGTATTCTGGAATGTATCTAAATCCACAAGTTAATATCACAAAGCAGAAGGGATCAGGCATGTTCACTATGATTTCTGTGTCCTCAAAAGGCTCAAAGATAAAGTTAGGTGGAAGAAAAGTATCACGCTGGGACCTCCCCTCAACAGCTGTGATGAGACCCCTTGCAAAGAAGGAAGATATGATGTGAGTACACCTTACAAAAGACTACCACTCTCGTCCTTACCTCCACGACCCATTTTAGCAATGCCTTCATCCCTTCCTCCCAGCGGTTACTCCAGCGGCTCACAATAAACCCTTCAACTCGAAGCTCTTTAAAGATCAGTGGGATCTGAATGTAAGGCCCTGCAAGAGAAAGGAACCAGAAAACCACCTGCAGTAGTTTAAAATAAGACCCAATGCATAAATAGAGCTTTTAGCCAGTAAGGACCACCGCATCACTTTGTTCCAGGCAGAAGCAACTGTTACGTTTTCCAAACACTATTTCCAGGACAAAAGACCAAGGATTCATGGATGGCCAACCACCCAGGGAAACAAAGGCCTAATGTGTAAAGCCGTGTGACTAAACAACCAACACTTATGAGAATAGTTTAATTCAGAAATAAAGTGGCCTCAGCTTCACCTGAGGGGCTTCAGCTGAACCCTCCAAGATTATTTTGACAGCTTGTCTAACAGCCTGCAAAACTCTCATGATACTTTCCCTAGATCTCAAAAAAGTTAAACAGTTTCCTCAGTCATAAGAATGTCCCATTTATAAAGTGATCTGGGAGTCCAAAGCAAGTCAGTTGTCAGAGAACTGAGACCTCCCATTTCTTCTCAAAGGCAAATCTGGAAAACCTAATGCTATTCAGAGTGAATATTCATCTCGTCTGCATTTCCCAGCAGCTTCACTAGTAGCTGAAATCTTATGGAAAAAAACACACAACACAAAACAAAAAAACCCTAAGCTGCCTCCATGTAAAATCCCAAAGGAAATCCATTCTTTCATGTGTAAACGGCATCATGTCACCACACCTGCATTCTACTGATCTGTATTTGCTCAGAGCCCTGGGGAGTCTTGTTTTAGGTAGTTGAGACCCTCCTTCATTTCTAATCATCTGATGTTCTCCATCCAATACCAGTGTGCACAAAGGAAAAGTGCATGTACACACGTGGAGTGTGGTCACACTCCTGCTGTCTTTCTCTCTGCCATCACCAAAGAGGAAATAAATTTAGACACAAGAAAGAAGACCCAAACCTTTCTGAGGCACAGAGTCATTGTACTGAGAGATGGCTCCACAGACTGCAATCCTGCCGTATTTCTTCATCTGATTGATAGCAATGCTGGTAAATTCTCCACCCACCTACAAGAACCAGAGCACATACAGCATTAGAGACAATTCTGTGTTTGGCACTGACTGCCAAAACTGGCCAATCTTGCAATGTTGCACCAACAGGTTCAATTAAGAGGTGAGTTCCCCTACTCCAAAGACTCAGTGGCTGCAGAAACCCTTACACTTAGTCAACACTTATGAGGGCTCGATCTTACTTTTCTAAAAATGAGTTATGAACACAGGGAATCAGTCTTAATTCTGAATCTGCTTCACAAAGCTTAGTTTGGAAGTGTTGGGCAGGACTTGCCTTTAAATCACTCCTCCTAAGGGTCATGTCTAGGGACACTAAGAAGCACTGCCTCTGCTTTTCCCCCCCACTAGTCTGCACTTTTACCTCTGCACATCATGGTGATGTTAAATTTTTACTTAATGACTCTCTTCTCTCGAATACAGGTGTGCTGTGCTCAGAAGCTTTTAATGGAGAAAAGCTCTGAGGAATTCTACCCAGAATCCCTGGGTAGACCTCTGCACAAAACTTGGAAGTGAGAAGGAAGGGAACACATGTGACCATAAAACCTATTTAAGACCTCAGAAGCACAGGACATGAAATTCGGAAATGTAAAGCAAAGCAACCAGGAGCTCCTCCCACAGGGGCAAGAGCTTTGCCCTGGCACCACGCATTCACATCAACTGCTAGGGAAGGGCAGATCCATTGCAATGCACACAGAACGACAGTGCCATCATCTCTGGATCAGTGGACAGACTGCCAAGAGAAAGACATGCTAAAGGGCTAATGATGTCTGCCCTTTAAACCAGGGAGTAGCCAGGGAGTTTTAGGTCAGTATCTCAGCTAATATCCCTGTGCCAGTTTATTGTATTACCAGGTGCATACACTAGCTATACCAGGTAATTAAAAATCCAGGGCTTGTTCTCTGGCTTGAAGGTGAAATGACATGGTTTGACTGCATCCATACTGTTAAACTTACTTAGCCTCCAAAAGAAGACAGGCACAAGCAAACAGCCTATTGAGAACAGTCCACAGATCCTAATAACCCCAGCTGTATTTGGGAGAGGTCAGACACCCTCTGCAGGCCACTCCAGCAATGCGACAAGTGGGCCTTGCAACTGTTTTGTTTCCAGGTACCTGTGTAGCCAGCTTGGCTAAGTAACATGGGGCCGTCCATGCCCACTCCCATTCCAGACACACCAGAGAACTGCCTGTAGTCTAAGGTGAGGCCAGGAATGGTCTGGAGCTATCTGTGTTCAGTTAAATGTTCGCTATGACCCTCATCTCTGCAAATTGTGCCATACTTCCCAGAGAGTGAAGGTAAGCTTCTCTCTCTTCACTTATAAACACCACCAACAATCCAGCTTTGCCTTTCGATCTTTGTTCTTTCTGTTACTGCCCAAGTCACAGGAACAGGAAAGCAGTAAGTTCTTACAGAGACCATTTCTCAATTAGATGGAACACAATATCAAGCTCCTGGTGTAGTCTTCAATTAGATGCACACAATACTGAGTTCCTACTATAGTTCAAGGAAAATGACAGTATGCTCAGGGCAAGGTCCTTTCTCTGAACTCACATTGTCAAAGAAACAGTCATAGCCATCAGGAGAGGCTTTACGCAGTGCTTCATCCAGAGAGGTAACAGTCTTGTAATTAAAGGCTTCATCAAAGCCTATTTTTTTCAGATAGGCAACCTTGTCATCTGAGCCAGCACAGCCAACCACTTTGCAACCCTGCAAGGAAAGAAAAACATTTCTAAACATCCCCTCACAACACAGGCTGACACTCACAGAGTGCTAGGGGGAGGACTCACTCTTGAATTCGGGCAGTCATCACCATACGAGTTCCTGAGCTCTAGAAAACATAGCTTTGCTATATCTTCAGGAGCTTGTCCCATATCAAGACCTTACTGCAGGCATGCCTGCCCTCCTGATCATTCATGATCTTGTATCCCTATCTCCCAGGTGAGCCTTCTGAGAAGGAAGTATGAGCAGTTCAAGCCACTCACCCCAATTTTGGCGAGCTGTCCCACCACACTGCCAACAGCACCAGCTGCAGCATTAACCAGCACTGTCTCTCCTGGCTTCATCTTGCAGACATCCAGCAGACCAAAATATGCAGTAAGGCTGTGGAAAAAAGAAAGAATGCTCAGTGAGGAATAAGAGATGCCAGACACAGAGATGTGACTTGACCACATTGAACTAATATACAGAACCATACTGTCACAACCAGAAGATTCAGTTTTCCTCATTCTTTATGAAATACAAAAATTAACTCCAACTTCTTAATTTGGCTTCTTTACAGCCATCCCAGAAAAAAACCCAGATACACTACTGTGAAACAGGATGCTGTGGTAGGAGTCTACCCTTGGGGAAAACAGTTTTCCTTGTGCTCACTAGCCAAAAGGAGAAACACAGACATAACTCAGTAAGTCGACAACTCGCTCTCTTCCAGTTACATGCTGGAAGAGAGAACAAATCCAAGCTAGACAGAGGTCAGTTAGCATCTACCAGGTTGAGGGAGAGGTTAAAAGATACTCATCACATATCAAAGCTGGCAGAAGAAGAATAAATGGCAGCAAAACCTTGCTGAACTGATGGGCACACTGCTCCTGAGGTCTTCTGTGCACAGCTATGGCTACTGTGTGAACAGTAATCTGTAGAAACCACTAATGTTTGGCTCAGGCATGTTCCACTAATCATACAAACACTCAATGACACCAGGCTCTGCAAGGAATGCAAGGATCTGCAAGAATCCTGAAGGAATATGATCAGTTGGCCCAGAAACCCAACAAACTTTTCTTCTAACTTTTAAATTCAAGCTTAGAGCCTCCTACTCTGTCCAAACTGAAAGGGTGAGCTGAATTCAGCTAGCAGATAAAAAAAAAAAGTGTCAAAATGAAATATGAGCAGTTTTACAGCACACAATATTACAATCATTTTGAAAGCCTTCTGCATCAACTGGACTGATGAAGTCCTGATCTCACATATAACCTACAGAGAAAGTAAGAGGAAATATGAGATGACTGTGAGGCTGCAGTAGTGAGTATAGATTCTGAAGCACAGAAGCTCTGTCTGCTGCAGTGCAGTTTCAAAGGACCTCTATTTTGCTGCACGATATGACAGCTGCCTTAATTCAGAATCTGCCATTTAGGCGGCAATTCTGGAAATACAGTGATAACAGAAAAGCCCCATCAGCAAAAGCAGACTAGTCCAAGTGCCAGTGAAGTTTGAGTCCTTCCATGAGGTTAATTCAGATTGAACTAGATGCTTTCTAGCCCTTCCTGGATCCTCAAGGAGAGGCACCGTGATCTCCAAGGTAAATCACCTCTGACCTACAGGACAGGCCAAACTTCAGGCCTTCCACAAGGTAAGGGCATCTGGAAGCACATACGTGTTCAGCAGAGTGAGCAGACAAGAACTGGTGCTGGCAGAACAAGAGGGAAAATGGTCATACAGATAGGCAGAAACATCCCACACAGCAAAATCCAGGGATAGCTGCCTTTGCACTGCAACACTCACCCTGGCATGCCAACAGTCCCAAGAGCCAGAGATCTGGGGAGTGATTCTGGCCAGCTTGAAGGAAGGAATTGTAGGTCTTTCCCATCAGAGATGAAGTGAGTTCTCCAGCCACTTCTACCCACAACAAAGGCCCCCACTTTGAAAGCGGGATTCTTGCTTTCTACGATCCTGTTTAAAAGAAAGAAAAAAAAAAAACAAAAAGAAATACCCTGTCAGACACAAATCATTACTGGCTCTTCCCTCTTTCATTCCTGTTGCCTTGTGATGCATGAGAAAACAAATATTTCATGTCAGAACATTTAGCCCATACCTGCTGTTGGCTTCTGATGTCTTTCCTGAACCGTCTACAATCTCTTATCACAATGGAGATACTGGGCAAGATGATTCTAGAGTCAGCCCTGCCCAAAACAAATTCTATGTTCCCATCATCCCAGTGGATGCTGACTCTTTTTTGACTGGCCCAGTCTGGTATAAATTCAGACTAGGCTTCTGTGAGTTAGAAGGCAGGAGAGGGGATGCTGGGATTAAAGGGCCAAAAAGCAAGAAGTCACAGATAGGCTGTAATAAACAGTTCTCAGCCAGCCTGCATCTCATTTAAAGGCTGAAGATCCTGAACATGGGGTAACAAAACCAGACAGAAAGTCATATCTAACAACAAGGATAAGAAGTTCATACTTGCAGTGTCTCTACGCCAAATGAAAATTCAACTTTCTTAGCCCAAAGGGAATACTACATCAGAAAGGGGTACGTAAGCAGCTTTAAAATATTGGAAACAGTTTGCCTTCTGTTCAGCAAACTTGGTAGTTAATTCACCCCAGCCCTCAGTGTTCCTTCAGAGAAACACGAGAGTCAAAGGCCACAGATGTTGCTAGGCAGCAGCTTAGAGGCAGAACAGCAGGAACAAGCTGACAAAGGTAAATATCTGTGTAAGGAAATTAACACAAACTTTGGAAAAGATGGATTTAAGGTTAGATAACCCTTTGGCTAGAGCTGTATCTAGGTGACACTGAAGTACTCTCAGTTGGAGTAGACAGTGTGCATGGTTTTGGGCTAGCAATTACCAGCACATCGGATTTTAAAATGTGAAGTTGGCACTTACAGCAACGGTCAGTCCATCATGCCTCTGCCTGTAAAAATTTCCTTTGAAAACATTATTATCAGAAATAACATATAGATTGTTATCGGAGGCCTAAATGCTCTCCAAGGTGGCAAAGATGTTCTTAGAGCAAAAACACACTGCAACAGGTAAGAATACAGTGGCAGAAGTCTGTAGACTCAAGTTGAGTATGGCTAGTGCAGGCTGCAGATGTCTTGAATGTCAGCTTTTTCTTTTGCGATTTGACATATGTATGGATAACAAGAACTGAGAATCTTACCTGGCCACCTGTGTGCCTATCATTATGTCCCCTTCCTTCATGTCCCTTTGACTGTAAGGTCTGTAACACAGGCAGAGATGGCTTACTTGTAAGCAACATTAATGATGTTCCAGATACACCATGAATTAGTAGCTACTGTCTGACCCAGAAAGAGAGCATAAGCAGCAATGTTGAACAGAATGCAAAGAGTTTGTAATTGTAATGACATAACTACATGTCTTTCACGGTCAGCTACCTGAGCAACCCATTTTGACCAAATAGTGGGCTAGAGTGTTGGGGACAAAACAGCATTAATCTGAGACTCCAAAGAATTGCCTTTGACACTAGAGTTCACCAATCTCCTTCAAACAATGCAGTTTCCCTGTGCTTGAACTACCACTTATTGACAGGGGCATTTCAGCAACTTCCTACTTAGTATGAATCTTAAGTACAAGGTTGCTAAATGAGGCATTTACTGCAACAGGGCTGCAGTCTCATTTAAGCCTGTTACATTCCAGTGGAAAAGACATGATAATAACAGCAGAGTCCAAGAAAGGTATACAGATGCAGCATTGTTACCCTAATGTCTGGCTAAATGTTGCACAGCTTCATATTGTCTTGTAATTTACACATATTTTATAAAAAGCAGATGAAGACATGTGGGACTCTGGCAATGGCAGGTACTCCAAGTACATGTTATTTTGAGGTTTAAGAGGGACATCAAATGAGGTTATTTTAGCCAGGAATTTAAAAAGAAAGAGATATACCTCATGTAAGGATCAACACTGAGAAACACTGATTCAAGCAGCAGCTCTGCAACAAAAGACAAAGCCCATTCTTGGGTATTAGAAGTGCAGTAAAACACAGTTTCCACAAGCTTGTCTTTCAACAAAAGCAATAGGAATTCCTGAGAGTTCAAAAACCCCATATTCCATCATCCTTTAGATGAAACAACTACTGCATTCATTAGCTTTGTCTGGATTATTGCTGTGCTGTTACAAAAGATAGTTTCCGTAGTGTTTCTTTAGGAGGCTAGCTTCTTTTCAGCCCTGTTTTTATTCATCTGTCTCCTCTCTCTATAGAAAGCCCAGGAGGGCAGACCCACTAAACAAAACAGTTAACTTCCTTTTCACCCATACATAAAACGCTTTCCCATGATTCAACCAGCAGAGGGTAGTAAGAAACCTTGGCACAGGTCAAATAGGACTTTGCTGCCTTAAAACAGAAAGCAGTAGGGTGTCCTTCTAGGTAGCCTAATCTACCTTACTCTCTCTAATGCCACTAGTTCTTGTGAAATACACTATTAAACAAATTTTAATTTAAATTCTCATCAGACAGCAGTTTCATCTGCTCATCTCCACCTAGTAACACTGTAGATTGCTGCAGTGCTGCAGTGGTCTAGCTAGTACAAGCTAGAAATATATTCACCAGTAAGGCATGTTTGGGTTTTACTAGTTATTTCATTTGGTCTGTGCCACAGTTCACTTCTCTCTTTCTAAATTAAACCAAATTTGTTTCCCTATGGCTGTCAGTTTCCAGGATGCATCACTTTAGCAATTTTCTCCAGTAAGCTTTACTTGCAAACACATTTTTGCATGAGGCACCACATATGATCAGGCTGAGTGAGATTGTGAAAGGCATGCCACAGCTGCTGCATGCTGGAGTTAGAAGAACTCAGCCACTGTTCCTACAGGTATCAGAAGGTAATGTGTCTTAAAACCCACCAAACTCACCAGCATACATGTTCTTGAGCAATTGCCCTTCTCTGCTAAGACGCATGGCTTCCCACAAGCAGTGCCAACCCCTTTTTGAAAATCCAAGTCAGAGAAACAAACAGTGCTCCAGATGCAGAGCCATTAATCGTCAGACAATCTCCAGAAAAACATAAAAAGCAGGTGGCACTGCACTTACCTCCATCCTTTAGGTTTGGCAGCTCTATCTGTTTCAGGTCAAAGTCGCTGAGTTTGGGGAAACCTTGAAAATGCTTCTTCAGAACCCACACCTTGGCAGTCACCATCCTATGGGAACAAACAGGAGATTAAAGAGCACCTGTCCAAGAGATGCCCAGTAGTGCTGGGCTGCTTGCAGGGGCTGGTTTAGACTTCATGAAGCACAGCAGTATTTTGATAACGTGCCATCACACAAGATAGATGCTGCTTGCATGCTGTAGCAGTATCATCAGATCAAGGAAACGTCTGAAAGTCTGCTCATTGCCTAAACTTGCCAGAGCCTCCTGCGACCTGCCAGACCTCCCTGCCTGCTGGCAGCAAGTCCTGGTGTGGGAAGTCAGCCCCAGCAAGATGGACAGCTGCTCCTCTAAAGAAGTTGAGGAAGATGAAAAAAATCCTGTGAGAAGAAAAGCAAACACTTAAACTTACTCTTCTGCCCCAATTACATGAGATGAGTACTGAACCTAAAGTTTTACAAGCTTGAACCACAAAGGAAAGAAAGACTTCTTTCCATGACATCTCATATGTGGAAAGAAAACACTTCAGTTCACGCACTTGTCCTCTGAGCTTGCTGAATCTTAGATGCTGTGGAAGATTTACGAACTCTCTTGTTTACAGTATAGACAGACATTGCCTTCTCACCTGCAAGAATCTTATGTTAAAGGCTCTTATGTTGAAGAATCATATGTTAAAAGAAATGCTTGCCAGGATTGTCCTGAACTGTCACTAATGGCAGACAACTGAAGAATCTTCTCCTTATCAAGAACAAACCTCCTCTTTGGTGGCAGCTCATGTGAACTATGCATTTTCAGTGAAATTGGGTCTGGGGTAGTACTCAAAACAAACATCAGAGACCGCAGAAGACCACCAAACAGTCCACTGCATGGGTAATGAGGCCAAAGAGATTGCTGTGTCACCCTAATACAATTGCATGCATAGGCATTAGGTAGGTGTGGTTTATCTACTAGTTAGGTGGAGTTTATGTTACTTTTGTACTATAAATATCAGTGCCTTTGCTCATAGTGGTGTGCTCACCTTGTGAAAGTTTCCACCGAGCATCCTGCACAGAATAACTCAATGTCTCCTCCCTAAATACTGTCTTTTGCATTTTGGGAGCTCAATTTTCACCAACAGTTTTTGCCAACCCAGATGAGACATCTCAATTGGACCAGACTTCAATGTGCTGTGTGCCACCAGAGGGGAGCTCTCACACTCTGGACTTCAACCCCCAAAGGGTCTCGTACAAAAGATCAAGTTTTGATACAGGGTGTGGTGGGGGAAGTAAAGAGAACTTTGGCTATTGATCATTGGAAGTAAGAGTGTATGGAGAAGATTAGAAATAGCTGAAGATTTGTTGGTGTATCTCTTGAGAAGAGACTTGTTGCAGGCTTCAGGTGTGGAAATAAGGTTAGCACCAGAAGGGGTAGATTTAATTATGACGGGGATGGATGTGATAAAGGAAAAAGACAAGGAAAGTGTAACCAGAAGTGGGTTTGAGATACCCTCAGAACTGAAGGAGGTTCCAAAAAGATTGTGAAGTAATACAAGTATGGATGTTGGGTTATTTAACTCAGCACAACCTGTGTGAATAAAAACAAAGGGCGTGATCCATCAGCAGTGAAGTAGTGTTCGATCCCAAGTGAAGAACAGCCTCATATTCAAAAGCAAATTTACATGTTTTTGAGGGGTGGTATTCTATGGAAATGTGAATCCCCATATAACACCTCCATACTGCTAGTTACCAAAATCAGAGAGGAGGGTAATGCAGAATGTAGATTCATACAGGACTTAAAGAAAATTAATGAGCATGTGCTAGTACCACATCCTGTGGCACCAGGTCCATCATAAGTATTGAAAACAGATTTGGAAGATACACAACTGCCTGGACATTTAGTATTGGTGCAGTATGACGATGATTTGCTGGGAGTGAGCAATTTGAAACACAACTGTTTGATAGACACTGTACACTTATGTACAAAATTGGCAGAAAAGGGACAACCTGCATCTCTGTCTAAGTTTCAGTTGTGCCAAACAGAGGTAAAATATTTGTAATTTACCCTGAAAGAAGGACAGAGGTTAATAAATCCAAAGAGAATTGAAGCAATCATAAAAAGCAGTTAAAAGGGTTTTTAGGACAAATAGGATTCTGTAGCTGGGACTCCAAGAGTTAATTGCTCCTTAACTGAAGCCACAAGACTTTGCAGTTAGATCCTTTTATAAATGGTACTCCTCACTGTATTAGAGCAATAGCAGCAGCAGCCAAAATGATAAAAAGGAGCCATCCTTTGAAGTGAGGACACCAACTCTATGAATTTTGTCACATGAGGTGGTAGTATTACTAAAACACTTCACAGCTCAGGCCCTATCACCACAACATGGTCACAGGTACGAGTTTATTTAATTGATGGCAGATAAGGGGGCTGGTTAGCTCAGTCAGTAGAGCGTAGCGCTAACAACGCTAAGGTCGCGGGTTCGATTCCTGTTCGGTCCCCATGTGTTGCCTGGTCTAGTCGAGAGGTGGCGTCCCTGGCAGCAGGGAGGCTGGATTAAAATGATCTCTAATGTCCCTTCCAGCTTAGGCCATTCTGTGATTCTCAATAACATCATTTTGAAACGTTCTAATACCTTGAACCCTACCACGGTCTTGCCACTGCCAAAGGATGGTACTTGGCATCTCAATATGCAGTGGTGGATGAGTATGTGATGCAGTGGCATGAGAATCAGGAGCTTTACCAGCAAAAAACAGTGCACAAGGACCAGAACTGATAGCCCTAACATAAGCAGCAAAACAAGGTAAAAATAAAGTGAGGAAATAGTTACACCGACTCATGATATGCTTCTGGAGCGTGCCATGCTATAAGAATGCTGTAGAAGGACAGAATATTTCTGACTGCTGTGGGGAAAAGAGGTGGCAAATGAGAAGGAGATAAGGAAACTACTGGAGGCCATACATTTACCAGAACGAATTTCAGTGATGCACTGCACACCCCACATCCTGGAGGAGAAGCTGGTCACCCAGGGAAACGCCCAAGCTGATAGCACAGCGAAAGCCAGCAGCCAGACAACCAGTGTCAGTTTTTATGCTGGTGACTCAGAATCCAGAAGGACTGAGATAACCAGCTGTAAATCCAGAAGAAAAGAGTAACTGGGAAAAGTGAGAACCTATACAAGATAAAAATGGCATATGGACAATAGGGGAAAAGCCTGCTTACCAAGAAAATGTTTACTGTTTGTTCCTAGATGGTTCCACGATAAATCTCATGGTGGAGCAGAAAACGTTGCAAACCAAGTACAACAAACATGGGCAGCACCAGGAGTTTACGCTGCTGCAAAGATGATTGTAGAAGGGTGTAAAACTTGTCAGCAATTTACCACTACTAAAGCACCCGGTCATAAAGGCACAGGACCACTGGCATGTTTCCGTTTTCAGAAGTTACAGCCTGATTACAAAGATATGCCTGTATCATTAAGATATGTCTGTATCATTAGGATATAGACATTTGTTGGGGACAGTAGACCAATTATAAGGATGGGTAGAGGCTTTTCCTACCAAAAGGTAGATTCAGGGACTGTGATAAAAATTTTACTTAAGGAGATCATTGTTAGATATAGGGTACCATAATTGATAGATTCAGATAGGGGCTCACATTTTGAGGCAGCTCTATGCATTCAAGTATTCAAGGCATTGGCAATTTCACAATTACATGCTCCTTAGCAGCCCCAATTGACAGAGAAACTAGAGAGAATTAATAGCACAATCAAAGAAAAATTAGCCCACGTGTGCATGCACACAGGGTTAAAATGGCTGGAGGCTCTAAATCTACTTTTATGGGACACGCATCCCACAGGGCTATCTCTGGCAGAAATATTCTGTGGCAGGCTTTTGGCAGGACCAGCCTAATAGATGGAGATTAATGAGTGACACAGTAAGTATTGTATGTGCAACAAACTTTTAAAGTTTAGAGGCAATGTCTGGGAATGCCACTTGAAATAAAGGTACATGACATACAAGCTCAGAGTTTGGAACTGGGAGCACACTGCTACCAGCATACTCCATATAAGATGGAGACAAACGAATTACTTGCATTTGTTCTACCCATACAGACCCTTTTTCATTCCCATAAGCAAGCGCATCAACAAGAGCAAAGAAAGAAAAGTTTATACTTAGAGCAGGCAGGTGGAAAACTGTCTTCTGCTGACAAGGCCAGTCAATAACCTTCCGCACCCAACTCAGTCTGTGGCTGGACTCCTTCAGTCAAAGGCAGCTCCTAAAAGGTAAAGATACCTGCTTTTATCAACAGAGCAAGTACCACCCTTAGGCCACTTCTGCAGGAGCAAGTGAAAACCCTCAGTAAACCTTGCACAGGGCACACCCAACATGATTCACCTTCCTCCTGTTAAGATTTAAGATCATCCTTATAGATCATGCCAACTCAGCGCCCAGCTGTCTGCACAGGACCGTTCTCTGATATGCCAAGCTAAATACCTTGGTCCTAGAAACCACAAAATACTTTAGTCTGAAGACTGAGACAATCCCCTGGAGCAGGAGTTTCTTCAAATCACATTTTACCAGTCCTAAAACCCCTAGGAGTTCTACCAGAGGAAAAAAATAGCTAATTAAAATTGAATATAAAACTCATTGTTCAGTCCATTATTTAGCACAGAGAATGACCCACATGTATGCCACTATCACAAGGCAACACTAAAATGACATTTACACAGTGTGATGTCTGCAGGCTCTCAAAGGACACCGTGTCCCAAGTCTGTGCTCTGACACCTGCACGATTGGACCAAAGGATCAGAGCTGGTGTGGCTACTCTGTGCGTTGCAGAGCCACCTTAAGAAACAGTAGCAAGCTGTGGCATTTTGCCTCAACTGTGTTGCAATGAGGCTTGTGGCATGCCAGAAAAATTTGCTCAACAGCAGTCTTCAGCTTTTATTTTTCTTGTGAAAATATTCAAGTAGAATATGAAGGGTGGAAAGTGTAAAGAGACAAATACATAGCAACATGTTTAACTACAAAACACCTGAAGACAAAAGTACTAATTAGGAACAGATACCTGAGAAA